GGTACTGTATTTATATAATGCAATGTGTTGTTAGATAACAATAGATAACTTTATTGTTCGTAATAAAGGCTAGTGCTATTTAACGTTTGATACAAATTGTCATTGTTAAAATTGGAATCGATGTACAATGCACCGAAACTTGTATAAAACACATTTATACTTGATTCATTGAATTGTGCATGATATATTTGGGCAAATTTATCTAAAGAATTGTGTCTCCTCATTTTGGCTTAAATATGCTGTTTATTTTTCTAATTAACTGTGAAAAATCTAAAAATATACGTGACACCAGTGTACGTTCTTCAGACTGAATTATCAATTGTGTTTTGATGAGAGTATCGAATGGACATCTTATAAGTCTATGTTAAATGTGTAACCTTTTATGTAATCCGACTTATCATACCTGTGGTTAGGTGTTAGAGCTTTCTAGAGTTATGTAATACGCCTGTGTATTTATAACCCGAACGTGGTGAGTGTATAATGAGTTTTAGTTTATGATTCAAGAGACAATATCTAAAGACATCCACGCTCCACCTCGTGTTACACAAGGACACAGGTTTGGGGTTTTATGCTGATAATTTGGAGCTTATCGGTCATTTCCGCGTCTGCGATGATGAAATGAACGAGGTGTTCCGAGGGTTATGATTTGAATGAAAATAAATATTTACCTGTTGAAGTGGTGTACTGTACATTTTATACACGTCATAAACGCGTTGGTTTTTACCTCGCTACAATGTGACCCATCGTTAGTACAGCTGAGGATAATGTCTTTTACTGTTGCACAATGAACATTGATTCACATTTAAAATGACACACGTTTGTCAGAGTAAAGAAAACATTATCACAAACTTGTAAACATCCATTATCGTCGGATTACTTACACAATAATAAGAAAATGTTTGAAACATTTTTAACAAGGATCAACGAATTTGAGAAGGACAGATATTGTGTGCTTTTGTGTGTCAATGGAGGTAACGTTAATGTCGGTTCTCGAACAGTACCCCAGAAAATATCCGGTGAGAATGTAAGCCTGATTTCAAATTCAAAGTTTCTTTACTAACAATCCAAAACACATGTAGTACTTTTACATTATTTACGACAAAGTTATTTTTGTCTGAAGTTCACTCTTTTGTAGGTGCAAGGGAGGTACTGTATATGCAAGTATCGTATGTTTTCTAGATTATTTTTATATCTCAATAACAATACAGAATGCCTTGTCAGATAAGTCATATAATGACGATATATCAGTTAAAACATACCATTTGTACTGTCATGCCAACAAATAAAAACGTATTCTGCAAGTGTTTGTTTGTCTTTCATAAAATAAACTATAAAGTAGATATATTTGCATTGGGCACGTCATACACGGTCATCTTCTTTAAATATATTCAGGTAGTTTGGACCAATCAGGAATGCTCTTTCAAAGGACCGGGCACATTTGAATGTGAGTCAGTCTATTTGTTGGACCCTTTGTAAATAGAATAATTCGATGTGGGCTATATGTTTCGATTAACCCGTGATAACCAGTTTTTACTACTTTGAAATAAGTAAAAAATAGAAACCATTACATATTTTGGAAAGACCCGTCGCTCAAACATAGGGCATAGAAAATATTCAGTGGACAAGTGGTGCTAGCAAGCCTCCTATTAACATGGGAAAATGATTGTTCATGCAACATTACGTATGCACAGTAAGTATATTGGTATCAGACTTACACAGACGTCAATATCTGTATAAAACTAGTAACAGGCCTAGGAAAGAGTGTTTTGTTCCTTTACCTGTGATGAGAGACTTATATGCATAGATTTGTTTATCAAGTTGTGAGATCACTCTT